GCTTAACTTGGCCAAACATACATGTAAAACCTTTTTTAAATCTCTGCTGATAGACATCTTAGGTTAGGATAGTGTGAATGTCTGCCTTGTAGTTTTAAGAATCTCGTATCTCTTCATTGCTAAAATATGTCCATACCGATCAAACATAAATCTTGAAACTTGTGTTTTCTTTCATTTTTCTCTGCTCTGTAGGACATTTCAAAGACAAAAAAAAGTTGTCATAGGGCATACATAGATGGGCCAGTCATGCCTGCTCTAAAAGTAACTCGCCAACGTCGTCTCGTTCTCTAGGCCCATCCTAGTCTCAAATCACTCCTCTTTGTCTCCTCGAACAGTTATATGACTGCAACGCCGACAAGAAAAATATTATCCTGGATTTGCGAGCAAAATTTGGCATGATAGCCTCACTGATTCAGCCAAATCCGCGTAAAGCGTGGTCGTGGATAAGGGTCTGTAAACAGGAAATGTGCTTCTCATTTGTGTAAAACAACTAAAACTACATCCAGGACTGATTCTTCTTTAGTTCCACTGCACAGTGCCGTTCTTGGCAGTAAAAATATAAGCTGTCTTTAGTTATTCAGTTATTCTCCAATACAAGGGCTACAGTGACCTCCGCAGCTTTGTTTACGTTTTGGGTCCATCCAATATGGCCGCCAAGACTTCAACCTGGCTGCACTTACTAAACAACAGAAGCTCGACCCAGTGGTTGAGAGGAGCAGCTCACAAGGACGGAAGTTTGTACATACAGACCCTTCCTATAACAAAGTACACTTAAACAAATACAGTACATGAAAAAGAGGGGTTACTCGATGGGTGTTACCAAACAATGAAGTTCATAACAAAATAACAAATAAGAAACAAGGACAAGCATCCAACTAATAGGATATTAATTACTAGTTCCTTATAATATACCTTGACCTACACTGTCTATATTCATGCTGCATTGCATAACTGCCTATTAAACAGAAAGAACTTACTAAATGATGTAATTTTACGTTTGTATGGACGTGAGAGAACACACTTCA